TGTTCGATTTTTTCGAATTTTTGTTCCCAAATTTTCGAAAAAATTCGTGAGTATCAAAAAAAAAAAGTGTCAACTTGTTAGTCCTTTTGTTTTATTTTTTCGGTTTACCTTTGTTGAAGGAGCCGAATTCTTTTTCTTTTGGGTCGAAATTTTCGAAATTCTTGTTCGAATTTTTCATTTATTTTTTTGATTTTTTTAGAGTCAAAAAAAAAAAAGTCATGACGAATCGTGAGAGATTCGATGCACTTGAGGAAAGCGTGAGGTCCCTTGGCAACGGACAACACGTGGTCAATCAAAATATGGCAAAGTTGGAGCTGATGATACCCGACTTGGCGGGACAACTCGAGAGAGTCAATCGCCATACACGGAGGAGCCGCACATCAAGATCAACCATGGCAGGAACGGACAGTTCGACGTCTAGTCGCGATGATAACGACGAACGGTCGCGGGAAACGCGCGCAACGCGCACTACCCGACACCACGGCGATCGCAGGGCGCATGGCCATCGGCGACATCGGGAAAAGCACGCAAGTGCAAAACCGAAGATCACGATGACAACGTTCGAGGGAGTAGATCCGGATGCATGGTTAAGTCGTGCCGTGCAATTTTTCGAGATCAATGAGGTACATAAATCTGAAAGAGTTCAAATTGCTGCCTACTACTTGGACGGAGAGGCCAACACATGGTGGCAATGGGTGTCACATGTTTATAAAAATAAAGGCGAGCAAATTAGATGGCGAGATTTTGAGAAGGAGCTGATTGCCAGGTTTGGATCTATCGAATACTTTGATTATGATGAGGCGCTGACAAGGATCCGCCAAACCGGGAGTCTACGTGACTATCAAAAGGAGTTTGAGAGGATAGCAAGCCGGGTTCGGGATTGGCCCGAAAAGGCACTAGTAGGTGCGTTTGTAAGAGGCTTAAAGGCTGAGTTGGCTGCGGAGGTATGGTTGGACCGGCCATAGTCGACAAGGGCTGCCATGGAAGCAGCACGACTGCACGAGGATCATCTCGCGGCAG